CAAAGAAGATTTTTGTTGTTTTTAATCATTTTATCTAAACTTTAATGTTTATTTTTGCGGTAATTCTGTTGTTTAAGAGTCAAATTGACTTTAAAAAGCAAACAAAACTGCGGAGCGAGAGCCTGTAAAATCAGAAAAACATTGAACTCATCATGTTTCTTCAGCCTACAGTCATGCTATTACGTCAAAATCACTTTATTCTACATGTCTCGTTTAAAAATTTACTAAAAATAAATACTTTGAGCTAAAAGATTCTTTAAAAAACAAAAAAATTCTGCACTCCTCAGCGCAACCGTTAAGCTATTAAAGGTCAAACTGTGACCAAAAGTCGCTTGACAAAAATTCTGAAAGTTTTTTTGCTGCTCTGGGTTGAACTGCAGCCTGTGTAGTACCAATACTGTACTGTGTAGAGTCACCACATCAACTATTTCTTCCACTTCTTAGAAAAAGGTTCCACATGTTGAGTCCAGTTTTGTAAAATGACTAATCAAAGAAAATCAGCCTTCATGTTTTCTCATTTCTTTATTATTTATGGCGGCACACGTGTCATACTCTTTTCTTTTCTTTTCTTTATTATTTATGGCGGCACACGTGTCATACTTCACAGAGGACGTTTCTTTTTACTTTCCGGTCACGTGGTGAGAAAAATGATCCCACGGTGAGTAAAAATGTGACGGGAGCACGACAAAAGTTCAGAGGTTTAAATGACAACAAAAGCTCAAAAACAAAAGTGAAAAAAAAATCACAAAAGAAGATGCGAAGACAGGAAAGTGTTTGTGTCACACGCCTCTGGTCCACCGAGGCTTTCATTACCGAAAAAAACACCCCACGAGTGGAAAAACGCACGGTCAAGCAGACGCGCAGACAGAGAAAAATCCATCACGATCGATACAATAGTCTTTGTGTCGGCGTAAACAATAGAGCTCAGACTCCTCTGAAGCGCCGCTAACTCCGACAACAAAGATCGGGCGAGCTCGTAATCTGACTAAAGCTGCAGATTATTGACCAAGATTCACACACACGCAGATCCCCGCTGACAGATGACGGGGGGAAAAAACAGCACAACAAGAGACGGCTTATTGTGTGTGTGTGTCCCTGTGTGTGTGTGCGTCACAGAGACACACAACGTCAAAAGCGCTAATACCAAACAATCGCTCTTCAGGCCGAGCAGCACCGATAGTCACCTCTTCACCTCCCGTCACAACCGCACATGCAGGGGCGTCGACACGTGCGCGCAAACATATGCAGATATTGTTGGTCTCGCATTCGGAGATTACACACACACACACACACACACACACACACTGGGCTCAGCAGCACGCCTGGCTAGTGAGTGACATTTCAAATTCCTTCGTCTCATCCTGCAACTACGATTGCATCCCCCCCCTCCACTCTCTCTCTCTCGCTCGCTCGCTCGCTCACACACTGTGCATGTGTGTGTGTGTGTGTGTGTGTGTTCGCTCCTCCAGTCACCCCAGGGGGCTTTGCGTTGTCACTTCCTGTTTGTTGACATGCATGTCGTCGTGGCGACGCTCTGGGCGCGCTCCACAGTGCCTCTGCCCTCTGTACCATGTGTGTGTGTGTGTGTGTGTGTGTGTGTGTGTGTGTGTGTGTGTGTGTGTTTGTGTTTGTGTGTCATTGCTCGCCGGCCCATTGAGCAGGCTTTGAGTGACGGGAGCTGGCCTTGTAATGGAACTCAATTCAGTCCACAAATAAAGAGGCCTTTGAACCACTGGTCCGAATATGGCACACACACACACACACACACACACACACAAACACACACACCGCCTGTGGTCCACTCGCTGGGGGGGGTTTGGCTAGTGGGTAAGAGGAGGAGGAGGAGGAGGAGGAGGAGGAGGTGTTCATGCTCGGCTGCACCTCCAACCCCCTCCTCCTCCTCCTCCGACACCCCTCCTCTCCAGGAGCTACAGTGCAGCTAATTGAAGAGAAATGAGCGGCGTCGGCGGCGGATGTGATCTCGGTGAAGCTGGTCGTCAGACCAAAGTGTTGTGTTTGCACCTCCATCAGAAGTATGTGAGCGCATACGAGGAATTTAAGTTTTTTACACTCTTAAAGTACATACACAATATGAAACACGTGCATTTAAAGAAGCTTATGGCGGCGTTTAATTACAACTAAAGATAGAAGAGCATGAGCAAGTGAACCAGTTATCTTCCTTCCTTGTGGTTTTTGTTCAGCAACACTCTGTTCGCAAATTAAATGACACCAATCTGACTGACATATCATTTTAACCATGTTATTAGCCGATATGGGCCTAATCCTGATATATGGGTATCTGTGTAAATGTCGTCCAACATAAAAACTCTCTATCCCAGCAAAGGTACCTTAAAACTGGACATATTTTGTCCAGCAGAGTGGCTTCGACTCCCCTGTTTGCGATGCTGTCAGCGCTGTCTGCAGCGCATGTAGCTGAGCCGACTGTGGTGCGGAGTCCAGCGGTGTCTTCATGCTACATTTTCCGGTGTCAGCCAACTGATATTTCGGTATTAGTTGTCCGATACGAAAACTTACTTTGACAAAAAAGTATGCTTAAAATGATTTCAAAACAGCGTCCAGCAAAGCAACTCTGACTCCGCTGTTGACGATACTCTTACCACTGTCTGCAGCGCATGTAGCTGAGCTGTCGGTGATGCGGAGTCCAGCGGTGACTTCATGGTACGTTGTCCGGTGTCAGCCACCTGATAGATCGGTATTAGCTGTCCGATATACGTCGACACGGAAACTTTCTCTCATGGAAAAATATGCTTGAAATGATTTCAAAAGACTCCACTGTTTGCACTACTTTCAGCAGCGCATGTAGCTGAGCCGACAGCGGTGCAGAGTCAAGTTGCACAGTTTGTGGCGTGCATTGCTGCAAAGTTAATAAATACTGATTCCCTTTTCCACCAATAAATCAAACATATGTGTGTTTAGCGGATACATTTTTACTCCGCATCATCCACAAAAATCTAGCATTAGTGATCAGACTTAACTTTTAGTGACGTCTGTTTCGCTCTTTTACTGAAAACTGATTTACAAAAGACGCGTCTGCTAAACTTTCATGTGGTAAATAGATGATGTTGTCCTTTAAAACTAATCCCCGATGGAGTCTCTGGACTCGTGACATTTGCGTAGATATATCGATATCAGAGTTTCTTACTCCCTGTAATCAGCATCGGCCCCAAAATTCAATATCAATCGAGTTCTATTTTAAATAGATCTTTTATTTAAACTTTTGAGATTCCTGTAAGCCTCCCAGAAATCAAATGTAGAACATGCAAAGAGGCTTTTTTTTTTTTGCAAAGCATTCGGTCCCAAAGTGTTTATCAGAGATGAAGTTACCTATTTGTACAATTACCCTTGTTGCAATGGCAGGTGTCTGATTTTAGAGTGAAAATAAAAGTTTGGGAATTCAATAAAACAGAAAACATTGTTGGACGGCGAACATTGTTGTCGCCACATGTGAGTGACAGTCAGGCTCAGACGATTTCACATTCAAATATGACATTCATCCAAAAAGTATGCCTTTGTGTGAGCGTGCATGCAGCCAGTTTGAGTTTCTCGTTTTTTTGTTTTTTGTTGTTGTTGTTGTTGGGTTTTTTTTCTCTCTCCTTGTTTGTACAGAAAGAGATAAATGTCTTTATTTACGATAGCAGAGGAGAGCGGGAGCTAATGTGGCTGTCAAGCGAGATAGAGAGAGCTACAAACAGACCGAGAGAGAGGGAGATGGATAGAGAAATAGCAGTGACAGCATCTCTTCCTTGTCCATTTGCATAAACCAGCCTTTGTTTGACGCCGGTGGCCGGCAGCCAAGCGCCAACAGAAGGACGGAAGTTAAACTCAAAAAAAGGATGGTCGTCTTCCAGAAAAATATTCCACCAGAAATAAATAATAACAATTATAACTATTCAACAACAGAAAGAAGAAGAAGAAGAAAAAAAAAAACAACACATCAGTTACTTCTCGCAAAAACAACCGTTCTGTTGCTCTTCAGAGGGACGAATGACAATTCAGGAAAAAAATAAATAAAAAATTTAAATAACAGCGTCTTGGAGATTTGTATTAGCCGACATGAAAGTAATTGAGCTTTGCAGGATGATTTTTGAGGAGGAAGACAGAGAGACAGAAAGAAGCGTTTATGAATATTGAAGCCGCTTCCAAGTTGTGAATATTACGCTGTGTCTGTTGCTGTGGAAATACTGGCCAGAGACTGTTTTGTGTGATACAATGGTATTGCATAAATATCCCAGAGTATGTTCACACCATAGCAGCTCACACCATAATGCTTTTATTTAATTGGAAATTAATTAAATACATAAATAAGAATAAGGCAAAATGATTTTTTTTTTTTTTTTTGGTCTCCCAGCGCAGCAGTTATTGAATCGATTTATCTTCGTTTTCTACCTATTTTGCGTCTTATTGTCGCCGCTGAAAACATCACAGGGCCACAAGACACTTCTGGCACGTCCCATCTGGCATGTAGCGTCACAAATCTCTCCCCGTCTCTCCGTCTCTCTTTTTTTTTTTTTCTTCCTCCTCCATCATCACTTTTTTTCACCTTGAGCTTAGAGCCGGGCTCTCCGGCGTGACCTCGATAGCCGGGAATGTTTGCCTTTCTCCCACGATGCACCTGGAGGGGACATGGCCATCTCTGGGCCTGTCAGAGAGGCTGTTAGCGCTTCTCCCATGGGGTGAGGACGGAGGAGGGTGTAGTGGGGGGAGGGAGGATGACAGTAGAGATGTCCCTCTGTCACACAAACAGAGGCCGAGCCACTAATGGCCTCTTCTTCCAGAGCTTTTTAGCCGGCTTCTCCTTTCTCTTTTTTTTGTGCGCTCTCGAGTATTCATTTATTCATGTCATCCCTTTCTTCTCCCTTTTTTTTTTTTTTTTTCCTTCCCCTCCTCCCCTCCTCGTCGTCTTCTTCCTCCTCCTCACCCCCTCGACCCGACTCCCTGCCTGTCTCCCCCTCTCCCTACCTGTCTGTCTGACCTTGCAGCAGTTGTACGCCGCTCAGCTGGCAGCCATGCAGGTCTCCCCGGGGGCCAAGCAGCACGGAGGCAGCCTCCCCCCTCAGGCCAACCTGGGCACGCACTCCCCGCCCACCAACACACACCCACAGAGCGACAAGGGCCGCAGCTCCCCGCCACCGAACAAGACCAAGGTAAGCAGAAAATAAATAATCTCTCTCCTGTGTGTGTGTGTTTGCCTGCGTGTGGGCATGTTTGTGTGTTTAATAGCAAAAAATTGGACTTAACAGGGCTGCTTGGTTAATATTAACCCTCTGAACCCTCAGCGGTAGTCACGTCTTTACTCTTTTTTTTAAAGTCCTGCACTTCTATGGAAAGAGCACAACCGTTACTAGAAGTAGAAGGGACTCCAAAATGTATTTAGTGCAGTTTAAGTAAGTTATAACGCCAAAAAATAAAAAAAATCATTAGATTTTCTTAGATTATTTGTTTTACATGTGCACTTTTTTTTCCCCAGGTGTTAGCAACACTGGAAAAAACTCAACACACTATAGATATTTTACTACTTACCTTTTTATCATTTGTTTCCGTGCTCTGTGCAAACACAGCCTGCAGTTCAACCGAGCTCACCCCAAAACTTCCCCGAATTGTTCTAATGTCTCTGTTGGTAGCAGCTTACTTAATTATAGCCTCACAGTTGCAAAGAAAAAGACAGAATTTTTTTTTTTTACAGAATCTGGTTAGTGCGTATGGTTTATTTTTGGCGATTTTTTTTTTTTTAATGAGACATGTAGAATAAAGTGATTTTGATGAAATATAAATTGAGTTTTCCAACAGAGTGTGACAGAAGATTAGTTTAGGGATCAACAGAAAGTTCAAAATCTGATCATTCTTACTCATTTTACAGTTCATTTGATAATTAGTGTAGTTTTGGCTTCTTTTTTTTAGGGTTCAGAGGGTTAACTACTATTTTATGATTTTTTAAAGAACCTAACATTTGATTTCTAAAACGTCTAATTAGTCATTTTTAAAGCGATTTCTCTTCATAATCAAATCCTTACTCACAGCTTTTTCAAGTATAAGAGAAATCAGTTAGTTTATTTCCCTAATTCGGCAGCATTTCTTTAAAAAAAAATCCTGACAAATTCTTTACATTCGAAGCCTGAAATGACTTTTGCAGCCTCATTACTGTAACCATGTGGCCTGTCTGAAGTCACCACACAGTGTGAGAGAGAGTGAACCCGATCGTGTTTCACTGCAACGCATGAGCTGAGAACGTGTTCCTGAGCTTGTTTGCATTGCATCCCGATTTGTCTTTTTCTTTTCTTTCATTTTTTGTTCCAATCAAACAAGTGTCCTGAGCGGCTCCAACTCCACACAACTCGACAGTTTTTCCCTCCCTCACCTGCGCAAATCAAACAGCCCAACTTTATCACAAAACTCCAGCTGCTCTCTGGTCGCGGCAGATTTCAGGATGTATTGGTGTTTTTCCTGTCGTTTTCTCGGCTGGCTGCCCAATAGGGGCGAAGACAAGCCTTGTGTCCATCCAAGTGGAATTTCTATGAATATCTGGTTGTGGCCTTTGGGACCCGAACCCCCCCGAGTTCACCTCTATGATCCCCCACAAACACACACATAGGATCAGATTATCGAAATCCCACAGAGTTTGACCATCAGAATTCAGATTTTTAGCCCCACTTATAAATCAAATTTCCCCTTTTTTTTTCTTTTCCTTACATTCCTTCACTGTTGCTTTCTCCTTGACCAAACCCCTGCGTCCACGCTCAGGACGTGGCGGCTCATGGCACAGATTGAAGCTTGCGGTTGACCCCTGCCTCCTTGTCCATCAGACACAAACACTCTACGGCCATCACGCCCCACTGTCACACACGTTTTATTACCATATATATGGAGTTGGGCTGACAGGCAAGACGCCGCGGCCTGTGGTGGAGGCAAAGTGGGGAGTTGTAATGGCCTCCCCGGTCCAGCGGGAGTGACCGACTGGGGAGTGGACCGACTTCGGACCCCGGCGGGAGCCAAAATGGCCGATTGACCACGGAGCAGTTGACAAACATTAGAAGAGAGCTCTGTAGAGTTTTTTTTTTTAAAGGTCTTTCTTTCTGACCACCGAAGCGCCCCCTTCCTTCGTTCCCTCTCCGTCTCCGGTCGAGTGACATGTATATTTCAGAGGTGCGCTCCCCCTGTGGGCTCTATCTCAGGTCTCTAGTCATTTAGAGGCCCAGTGCCTGCCGCTGCTCACAGCTGTTTGGACTCAGGCGCACACCGCTTAAGTGCTTTACCCTCGGGTGAGACACGGACACACACACTTTTAAAAAATGCACACGTATACACACACAGGTGTAGAACAAGAGCTAGACACCGCGCGCACACCCAAATCACTGCAGCCGACATTCTTATATGCAAGAGTGGATCCTCGCATGTAGGCAAGCATGCATACAGACCCGTACGACGGTGCGTTTGAGTCATGCCGCCATATGCAGCCCACTCGCTGACATGCATCGTGTACACGCAGCGGATGGAGGACACTCAGTCAGGCGCCGTGCTCAAGTGCAATTTGGATCTCTTCAGTGTATCCGTTTTATGACACTTGACGCGTCCGTTTTTCTGCATTTAAGAGGGAAAATAATGTCGTTTATGATCCACTTGATTTATTTTACCTGCAGATTAACAGCTCGTGTATACATGAAACGCTATGCGACGTCACCTCTGAACTTTGAGATGTTCCTCACGCGTTAATTGTTCTAAAATAATATTCTAGCAAAATAATGAATACATTAAACAGCACTTCTATGAAGCAGTGCTTTTACTTATGGAGCAAGTGTGTGTATGACCACTTTTACTCAATATATATCACATTACTGCACAAAGTAACGTGTACAGTAGTGACCATATAAAAGGTTCTATGTGTTATTAGTGGATACTGTTAAGAAATTCACTTTGTGCACCCTTGTTAACAACATAACTGTAAAAATACCAACTTTTAGCCAACTCTCTGAACCCCCGAGCAGTTTCTCTACATTTTTTACTCACTGTGGGCTCATTTTTCACTGCAATATAAAGTCCTGCACCTCTGTGGAAACAGCACAGCCGTGACTAGAAGTAGAGAGAACTCAAATATGCCTTTTGTGTAGAATAAAAAAGTTATAAAGCCGTTAGTCAAAGAAAAAAAAGGAACAAATTGATGTTTAACTTCTTTGATTATTGATTTTACCATAAACTAGAAATAAAATCTGGTATAAACATGTGGAGCCTTCTTTTAAAAAAAGTAATGGCTCTACATACTATACATATTTTAAAACTTACATTTTTAAGTTGTCTCCATACTGCGCTGTCTAAACACAGCCCAGTTCAGTTGAAAAGTCCCTGAATTTTTACCATGTGAGTGTTGGTCGCAGCTGAGTCCCGAATACTTTCACAGTTGTGTCGAGAAGCACAGAATTTTTCATTTTTAACAGAATCTGTTTAATGCAAACAGTGTATTTTTGCCAAATTTTTAAATGTAGAATGTAGTGATTTTAATGAAGCAAAAAAAAGTCACACATGATGAGTTCAAGGACAGTCAGAAAGTCTGATTTTACAATTTCTGCACATGACAAATGGTTACATTTTAAAATAAATAACATGCATTTCCAACCTGCTGGTGGGTTTTTTGGGGGGGGTTCAGAGGATTTACCAGTGTTGTTCTTATCAAACACACCCAGAAGTGACTCTCACGATTCAGCAGCTAAGTGACTCTTTCAGTCTGACAGGTAAACGCCGTCGAGGCAACGGGCCTGTTCCAATTAAGGGGAAAATAAAGCACGCAAATAGAAAACAATCACGATTGTTCCTTCCAAATACACTAATTAGTTGAAAACGTGAAGTGGAGGAAGGTTGAATCGGCGCCAGATAAGAATGTGTTTACTCTGCCGTCTTAATAGAATTTGATATGACAATATAATTAATATCTGAACAGCCACTTGTATGCGGCTGAATGAGAGGGAGGAAGGAAGGAGCAGAGAAAGAGAGAGAGATGAAGGGAAGGAGGCACATTTAAAGGTCTTGACACGACCGTGGCAACGCACACCTACACACAGCGAGACCCGACCGGGATAAACGGTAGCGGCGGCGCACACTTGTCCTGTTAATTGAACCGTCAGCTCCCGTGATAAGATGCAGAACCCTGATGTCGCTTTTCGCATGTCGGCATCCGCGGAAGTGAAATACAGCCCACACACACACACACACACACACACACAGTCGCGAGCATTATCTCTCCCCTTCTGCTTCCTCTCCGTCCCTCTGGCTCTCGCTGTCACTCTGCATGTTTTCGGTCTCAAAGCTGGAGACTGTTTCATCAGCCAAGAGAGACACAAAAGCAATTGTATTAATTCAAGATTCCAAGAGGCTTTAGAGGCGACGCGCACGTATACGCATGCACGCACACTGTCATGAGATTTAGAGCTTGTTGAACAATGTCTCACAATGACACGCACACACACACACACATAAACAAGTCGGTCCAAGCCTCTCAGCTCCACTGTCTAAACTAATTCCTCCACACTGGCATAATGCAGGTTGGCCACCTTCCCACCGCAGGATTTGGTTTGGCGCGAAGAGGAAACTCCCCCATTCCACTGTACAAGAGGCGGAGGCATTATCTATTTGTAATAAATATTCAAACGCGTTCCCAGCCAAAAGCCCACCATAATATGGGTCAGGATTGAGAAGATNTAATAAATATTCAAACGCGTTCCCAGCCAAAAGCCCACCATAATATGGGTCAGGATTGAGAAGATTCCCCCAGCTCAGTTTTTTTTTTTTTTTCCGCCTTTCTTTTCCTCTTCTTCTCCGGCCCATTGTCTCACTGAAGGCATCTTTGGGGGTCCTCCGTCTATTTAGAAAGACCCCCCTAATGAAGGACAATCCGGTTAGGCCTCATCGCGCACGCACATGTACGCGCACGTACACATGTAAGGGGGCTTAATTGGAAGGGCTTAATTGAGTTGTGAGGGGCTCATAAGGCTTAGTACGACTCAAGGAGTGGGAATCAGGGGAAAGTCGGCCTTAATGAGTGAATATACCGCGCGCACAATACTTTCTTCTCCTTTTTTTGGATCCCACTGTATGCCAGTTTAAGCAGCAATTAGACTAATGACCAGAAAATAAAGACAAATATCGTGCCTGTTGTAAGGTCTCCGTGTCGCTGCAGCACAACGGAAGCACACCTGTACTGCTGCGAGTTAATTCTGTTTTCTTTTTTTTTTAAAAACGGGAACAATTAAAATCCCGTTTCAACGCTATTGTCGTGTATCTTTAACTGGCCGGCCCATTAAGCCGTCCCTTGCCCCCATGTTGTGTCTGGCTTTTAATTGCGGCGTTTTAATTACACAGAGTGGTCGGCGTACATCTGGCCCCTCTGCGATCTAATTCCTCCCTTCCCGTCATGTGACCCTCCAAGGTCCCCCCCCTGATTGGATTAGGTCGTCAGCGGGGGTGATGTTGCCATGACGGTTAACGTGATAACAGCCTCCAGCGTCGTGCGGCGGTCCACATGCCGCCGGGTTTTCGCTCGCTCGCGGCGTTGAAGTTGCTGCTGCGGAATGAGGAGGAGTTTACCGTCGGCATCAACGATAAATAAAAGTTGTATTGATTGTTTGCGGGGTTTTCTCTTCAACCACGTTTCTAATGAACCAAATGCACATTGAAGCGACAATCCTCCGCTGTGTTCAATGTTTGATAGCGTCTTTAGAGTCTCACACCTCCAAAGACGGTCTCAGGAAGGTGTTTTTCTTCATAGGGAGGCAGAATGATTTCACTTCTCGTCAGTGACCTTGTTTGAAGCATGTCGAAGAGCAGTGCATGTTTGCTGCATGTGGAGTGGCATGACTCTGCTGCTGACAGGAGGTCGGTTATTTTGCATGTGAATGTCAGTGGTTTGCACCAAAACATGTCGATATTTCCTCTTCTTTTTTTTTTTGTATGTAATATTTTTTGCTTATCACGAGCTGTTTGAAGACAGGCAGTGGCATGCACCTCGTCATCAGTCCCCGCCAGGCTTGCCTCAGATTGCTGTGCATGGGCTCCTGTTTAATTAGCACGTGTCAAAGCCTCCATTGCGAGTGGTTTCCGTGAGGGAGGGTGAGGGGTCCACCTCCTCCTCCTCCTCCTCCTCGACCCCTCACCCTCCCCAGCCTCCCGCTTCCAAATTCCTACGGTGGTCACAGCGGGCGAAACTGTGCTGTTTTGGTTTTTGCAGGACAGTGAGGGTGCACAGCCACTGAACCTGTCGGCCAAGCCTAAGGCATCCGAGAGCAAGTCACCCAACTCCCCCCCAACTTCCCCACAGGTCCCTGCTGCTGCTGCCGCCACCAAGCTGGGCCCCGCCGGCTCCATGAAGCACAGCGTTGCCCCCTCCAGCATTGGAGGACCACCGACCAGAGTCAGCTCGATAGGTAAGTGGATTTAAGTGCTCATCACGTGCAAGAACAGGTGATTCAAATACTTATTGGGACAGTTTCACCTGACCGTAAAGAGAACGCTTTTTACACAGAACTATGAACGGAGATGTCATCCTCCTGTTAAGCTACATGCATGAAAGCAAGTCACAGAAAAGTGATGCCCAACATTTCTACACTGTACTCGTGTTTCTCAAAATAACACCACCTGTCAACAGGAAGTGTGCTAACATGTTAGGCGTCAGAACCCGAATACCTGCCGGCGTGTCGTCTTTAAAACATCGCCAAAGTTACACCACTTATCAGAGCCAGAAACTTTAAAAACAGAAAGAATTGCCAGATTTCAACTTTCCCGACAGTCTTTGAACGTCTCATCAGGGACGTTTTGTTGGAAAACTGAACCAAATCTAAGCTTAAAATAATAACATTTTATCAAAATCGCTTTATTCTACGTGTCTCATATAAAAAATAAACCATTTCCACTCACCAGATTCTGTGTAAAACTTAAAATTCTGTGCTTTTCGGCGTGACTTGGAAGTTGTTGGTGCCTCAGCTGCTACCAGCAATCACATGATTGAAATTCAGGGACTTTTCACCTGAACTGGGCTGAATGGCATGTTCATAATGTAAGATGTTAAAGGGCTATTTTTCTCCCAATACCGGTACCAGCTGTGGGCCCTTGGAGAAATGTTGTACATTCTGAAACCAGATTTTTAAAATTTTATTAGAACTAACAAGTGAGAAATTCGACTTTTGATTATTATCGTAAAAACAAGCAATCAGATGATCAGAGAGGCTGTAAAGAAGACAAAAGTTTACCCAAGTCTTTTGAGGAAGTTCTGCAAAGTCCTAGTGATGTGTTAAACTTTTCATTTAGTTCCGAAAATGTTCTCTTTAAAGTTAGTATAACGTTCTATGAAGGCATTCTAAAAAATATTTGGCGGCGACATTGTCAGACTATCACGCCCTGACGTCGTTTTCCAAATCAGAATCAGAATCAGAATCAGAATCTGAATCAGCTTTAATGGCCAAGTACGTACACAGCATACAAGGAATTTGGTTTCGGCTGTCGGTGCAAATGCTGCGCTGAGAATCCTTCGTTATCCTGCAACGCTGTGGGAACGTTCTATACTGTGTCACCTCCAGAACAAAACATCCTCACAAGTCTGCAGGCAAAACGTTAATTAAAGCAACACTTATTATATTAAACATTCTGTCATCTAAGATCTTGAAAACCTTTTTTTTGAATGATCTTCCTTTAACATCATTTAACATAATCCTCATGACATGTCGCAGTTTTAGTCACCATTAAACATTCTAGGAACAGTATTTGAAATGATAAATATCCTTGAAACGTTCACTGAACATTATTTTCTTTAAAACGTTTCTGGAACTGTTAGTCAGTATGCAAGCAAGCATGCACTTACACATGCGTTTGTGTTGCATACAGTGTATTTGCACGATATTTCAGTGCTGCTGGAGCCACAATCTGTGCTGCATTTATCAGAAAAAGTCAAGTTTCTTGGCTCACACGACTTCAAGTGGCTCTAATTTGGTACATCACTGATTCAAAACAATACTAAAATACGTGTTAATGCATGCTTGCAGTGCACTCGTAAGAACAAATTGCTCCCATCGTGACAATGAAGCATCTTTAAGGTACCCGGCAGCGGTCGACGAGCGACGACAAGAATAGCGTTTTCCTCGCAGTGGTGCCATTGTCGCCCGGTGCCATAATCAAACCGGGCCATATGCACGCATACATAAGAAATGTGACATAAATGAATCACTATTTTGTACTCTTAATCCATTTTTCACACGACGCCGATAGTTCAAATATTACACATATGTAACAGGCTATAATTAGTGTGTTTGTGTTTTTCCTCGCCTGCGTCGCTGTTTGCCCGCGGGCGGCTTCATTGTTATGTGTTTATTAGTGAACTGAAAGAGACATAGGAGTGGAGGGGAAGAGAGAGAGAGAGAGATGGGGATTAGCACTTCTTCTTCTTCTTCTTCTTCTTCTTCTTCTTCTGTTTTTTTTTCCCGTGCAATGAAGCGGGGGAATAATAAAGAGAGGAGTGCATGACAGACAGGAGGTATCACCAATGAGATTAGACAAGCCTCTTACATGAGCCAGGACAGCGCAAACACCCAGCATTAATGACACAATGACACACACACACTCCAACACACACACAAAGCACAAACACAATCCCACCTCCTCCTCCTCCTCCTCCTCCTCCATCTATGCAATAGGCAGTTAGTCATTTTTTTTTTTTTTTTCCTCCCTGTTCTGACTTCCTGGCTAATCTCACTGTTTTTCAACAAATCGGCGGATTTAATATCAGATTAGTGGATTTTCGGTCCCAGATGTTTTTTGTTCGGGAAAAATGGATTACAGTGTTTAAAGTTTGTGTGTGTGTCTGTGTGTGTGTGTGATCCCCCACTGGATTTTTTTTTTTTTTTTGCGCGGCTGGGGACCGGCGTGTCGGTTCGTGTTGTGGCTCGACGCTCCCATCTGTTGCCACTGGAGTTTTCATTTGTTATTAGGATTCCTGTTACAAGTTCAGAGGGGATGGACGGGGGCAGACAAATTGGAATGGAGTCCAGGGGGGGGGGTCGATTTGATCTGGAAGCTGTGTGTTTGTGTGTGTTTGTGTGTGTGGGCGGTGCAGATTATGGATTTCTTCTGGGGTTATTTGAATTCAGACAGAAGAAAGAGCAGAAACATACATAAGGAATTAATATAGATGCAGGCATCTGGTCCACTTTAAGTCCTATAAACATGCTCCAGTGAAGTGTTTTAGACTTAAATTATCCTTTTTTTTTCCAGTTAAAGGTAGAAATGCTTTAGCGACTTGTCATGTTACTGATTTGCTACTAGATTTTTGTTAAGTTTGTTAAATTTATGATCCTTTTCCAAAGATTAAAACGTCCCACAAATAGCAGGACGCATGCCACAGGGGTGTAAATGCCGTCAGCAGCAAGTCCCCGGTTCGAATCCCACTTGACCCTCAGCAAAGAAGCTCAAAAAATATCCCAAATTATGAAAAATGTGTCTCAAAACTCATCCGAAGTGGCTCGAAATTTGTCCTAAACAGGTAGAAATGAACGAGAGTCGCTCAAAACTGGCTCAAACTTTCTCCAAAACAAATAAATGCTTGTACAGAATGACTTTAAAAATATCCACAATGACAAAAAAATTCAGAAAGTGTTATACTGTCTTCAATAAAATAAAACTTTCTTAATCCCTTTGGACAGATATTGCTCAGAAAAATAACATAAAACAAGAAATACAGGACAGCAACAAGATATACTGTAAATACGTCACATTAAATACAACAAGGAAGCTAAAACAAGACTAGAATAGATGACATAATACTGAGATAATGAGTAATATCACACATGAAGTGGAACTATTACACATGAAATTGACATATTGTGCGTTACATTGACATTTCCTGCATGTCATTCCCCTGTTCTCTGTCTCCTCGTACTTATTCTGCTAAATAATAAAGGCAAAAGTGACAAAAAAATAAACTTTAAACACCCTAAGATACTCATTATTCATTCATTTAACCTTCCTGTAAACTCATACAGGTGCAGAGGCCTCATGTGCAGCGTAGCCGAGTAAGAAAACAAGAAATTTCGACTGTAAAAATATAAAAAAGTGAAGTTAGTACAATAACAGAAACCTTTAAAACACACATATTGACTGAAACAGGATGTGTAAGGGTGTTCTTGATTATAAAAGTGTTCAAATCGACCACCTACAATGCTGCTTCATAGTTAAAGCAGCCAGAATTATCATGTAAAGCTGTGTAATATATGACAAAATAATGGTAAACATGAACTTTATCTTTAGGAAATGAAAGCTCTGATAACTCCTCCGTGCCACACCTTCTCTGATTTTTGACACCTATCAACCTGGAGGCGTGTTTCTAACGACGTCGTCCATCCGTCGACTCGTCTCAAACTGAAGGCCTGTCAGCGCCTGTAACTCCATCACATGTTTGTCTTCATCCCCACTCGTAGAACACGCTTTGCCCTCCGACCCCTGATGGTTTTTTTGTTTTGGTAGATTTCAAAAAAACTTGTGTGAGTGGAGAAAGAAATAGAGACGCCCTCCCTTCCTTCCTCCCTTCCTCCCTTCCTCCCTCGCTCGCCTCTATCTGGGTCACACTCACTCGTCTGGATGGTTGGCATTTCTGTCAGTTTAAGCGACGCACACAATCATGTGCACAAGAATATATCTGCCTCCCCTCCTCTTTTATTTTTTTTTGACTCCAGATTAAAATCGACTGCCACCCGATTCCATCACCCCCTCTCTCTCTCTCTCTCTCTCTTTTTTTTTTCTTCCTCCGTCCCCCGCCTCCCCACTCACCCTTTAGTTTTTTATTTTTTGGCTTCGCTCACATCCAGATTTTCCGGTTATGACTTCTGAAAGAGTTCACGGCTCTGTCATTACCAATCTGAAGCTGGTAATCTGGCCTGAGATGGCATTAGCGGTGCGGATTAGCGCAGATAAAGGCCTCGTAAGCCGGCCGCGGCTCTTTGTTAAGAACTAACCCGGCTGATAGAGCGAGGCGATAGCAGCAGCAGCAGCGGCACACACACACAGAGCCAAAGCAGATGCCTCGGATGCCTCATCGGCGACTAAAGCTGCAGAAATAATACGAATAATAGGCGGCGAGGAGGTAGCGAGGGGGCGGGAGGGGAGAGATCTGATCTTTGCCTCGGCCGGCGGAGCAGATGCTCTGAAATTAGCAGGACTTTTTAGCCGTAATAAGAGTCATCTGGCCACCTTCCCTTCAAAACGTGCCGTCAGATGTCTGCATGTGTGATTTTAAAGGAGCGTTTGTGTGCGGCAGGTGGGGAGGTGGTGGGCAGCTTGCAGCAGCGCTCTGACTCACATCGCCCGGCTCGACAGTCAAGTGGTCAGAGTGTGTGTGAGAGTGTGAGTGTGTGTGTGTGAGTCCGAGGGGGAAAAAAAAGACACAAACATCGGTGATACACAAATTGCCCCGACGAACTCCCCCCCCTCATCTGTCGAGTGTTATGTTAATGTCTTTACCTCATGGTTCAGGAGAAGATTTATTCTGGATGAAAACCTCCCGCCAGCTTCCCAAAAATAAACGTTTGCTCATCCGCGGCTCGAGCAAAACGCTCTTCTGGATGTTTCTTTGACATCAGTGTTTTTTTTGCGCCGAAGATAAAGAGTCTCACCTACATTGTCGCTCGCTGCTAATCTAACACCTCTGAAGCCCAAAACCCACGAGCCACGTGGTTTTGAAAGGCGTGTTGTCTCTGCACCATTGATCAGAAACTGTAAAAAATTTGTTTTTTAAAAAATGGCAGCTCTTGAACTAATCATCTGCAGCTTCTTCGGGAAGCTTAAAATCATGCTATTTCATTGAAATCACTTGTTATATTAAAAATTCACCCAAAAATTAGGCCTTCACACTTAACGGATTCTGTAATAATCAAAAAATTCTGCATTTCTTTACGCAACTGGAGAACCTTTAGTGACTCACCTGCAACCAACAGTCATGTAGCAAAAATTCAAAGACTTTTTGGCTGAACTGCAGGCTGTGTAAGACAGCAGATAGGAAACGAGCATCAAAACGAATTTAAAATGTAAGTAGTAAAATATCTGTAGTATGTAGAGTTACCATTTTTTTTTCCAGTATTGGTAACATCTGTGGGAACTCAGAAAAGTGTTTTACATGTTGAGTCCAGGTTGTTTTAATTTTTGTAAAATAAATAATCAAAGTAATTAGAGTTCTTCTGTTCGGTTTTGTATGATTTGCGGCATTATAACCGTGTTGTGCTGCACAGGAGGCATTTTCCAGCTCTCCCTCCTTCTAGTCACGGTTGTTCTGCTTCCATAGAGGTGTAAGACTTTATATTGCAGTGAAAAATGTGACAGGAGCAAGAAAGAGAACAAAGCAGCTGGGTTCAGAGAGTTGTAACTGATCCTCCTCTCCTCGTGTCCTCGTCTGCGTCTCAGCAGACTTGCTGTCGTCGCTGTCTTCAACAGCCTACCTGAACGACCACGAGGCGGTGACCAAGGCCTTCGCCGAGGCCCGGCAGATGAAGGAGCAGCTGAAGCGGGAGCAGCAGGTCCTGGACGCCAAGGTGGCCGCCGTCAGCAACCTCAGCCTCAACAACGGCCGCTCGGACAAGGTAGGAGAACCCGACTGTAACCTTAGCAACACGAGCGTGACGACCGCCGCCTCCCTCCTCCCGACTCCTTTTTTTTTTATTATTATTATTGAGGTTAACAACAAATGGCACATTAAAATCTGTGACCTCACTCGGTAACACGCGGCGGAGCTTTCGCCACAAGCAACGGCAGTATGTTGTTTTCATAAGATAGGATTCTCACAACATGTGTTCCCTCAGAGTTCACCACGTCAGCTGACACCTCGGGTGGAACTCGACGCAGGAGCGGTGGCGCTTTAAATACATTTCGAGATCTTCTAAAATGCTGCATGCGGTGAAATAATCAGTGTAATTTTTATTTTTTTTTCTCTCTATTAATGACAAAGGATTCACACTCAGAGTCTCGTAGAAATGAATACAAATCAGTGCATTTTTATCTCAGTGGGGGGGGGAAGAAAAAAAATATTCTGAGGACTAAACACATAAATCCGCTCAAGTCTCCAAAGTCATCACAAGCTGTAGCGTCTCATTGTCAGTGTGTAATAATTTGTCTTGCCATGTGCCATCCCTGCTGCACCATGTAGGAGGTAAATCGGTGTACAATGTACCCGCTGAAATGTGTTGAAGCTAAACAGGGCCAGATAAGGTAAAAAACCAGAGGCATCGCGGAGGTAATGAGTGTGTCTGCGAGGCGCACTGCAGGGCTCTTGTGCACGTACATGTATGTGTGTGTGTGTTTGTGCATGTGTGTGTGTGTGTGTAGGTGTGTGTGTGTGTGTGTGTGGCAGAGCGGAGCGTCAAGGAGACGGTAATGTGAAATGACGGCGCCGGCTCCTCGGCAGCGTGGCTAAATTGTGGTTATTTGTTAAACACATTGGGAGTCAGCTGGTGCACGCGCAGGCAACACACACACACACACACACACACACACACACACACACTCGTACACACACACACTCGTGCAGAGAAACAGTGTGCTGGAAGCATCTGCACCGCTGACATTCAACAGCTCTATCTGTCTCTTTCGCTTTCTACCCTTTTTTTTTTTTTTTCTCCGACAGACTGATTTGTGTATTCAAAGCAGGTTTATTGTAGACAAATTACAGAAATATGCCTCCATACGCACACTTACAGTATTTTTAATAGCTGATGCCGGGAATACGATCAATCCCGCTTGAGAATCGCTGCTTTTCAGGAGCACGTTTTGCTCACTAAGGAGCCGTTCACTTTTTTTTTACTGCGTTGTATGAGGATGCTTAAATACTAGGTGCAATTTTATTTCATTGTTTTTGTCGTTTCTGGTTAAACCGGTGCATGAATGATGTAGAATAAAGTTATAATAGAGGGGAATTATGTATTATAAGGAGGATTCTTTAGCATTAATTGGAATATATTTTTTAATTATTCCTAAAATGTCCAAACTGCTATTTAAAATCAATTTTTTATTCCAGCTGCATAAAAGTCAAGCATCTTATTTTTACTTGGTTCTGCTAATACGATAAAATCTTGATGTTTTAAATTCTGCTTTTATGAAATGATGTAAAAAAAAAAAATGGCACTCACGCCGCCGCCGCCGCCTCCCGTTTCGTCGGCCCTTTGGCTTTGTGCTGCGTGAAGCTCTCGGATGCGATGGTGTCATCTCTGACACACTCGCAGGATTAGTTTTGTCGCTACTTTGTGCGTTGGCTCCAGTGTCAGCCATTCAATCCACTTTTCTCATGTACTGTAGCGGGGCTTAATGTCAGCCTAGGCTGTCATCCGCTCCGTCTTCCCCCCACACACACATACGTTCGTCTCTTCATCATCGCCATTAAACGTTTAATCTGGAAATCTAAAAGTGTGACATGCGTTTTTTTTTTTTTGTGTGCGGAGAAGGAGGCATTCTGCGAAATGAAGGAAAGCTCCTAAATATTTCTGATTTACATACAAAATGACTCCATAATTCCGACGCGCTGGCAGGTTATTGTGCATTTACGGAAAATGTAAGACACTCAAAAATTGAAATACTTTTTAAATGGCTTGCAAAAAAAAAAACAACCATATTCCCGCTTGTGTGCCTGCGTGGCTTTTATTCTCCCTCTCTTCCTTTTCCGTGTCTATTTATTCCAATCTGGGGGGGAAATTATCTCTAACAATTAAACTCTATTGGACTAAAAAACAGAGAAAATGCATTTCATTATCATTCTGCCCTCCCCTCCGTGCAGCCAGCCAGCTCGCCGGGGTCACATGTAAATGGAGAGGGACACTTTTTGGAAGGTTGTTTTAGAAGACGACAGTGTTTTGGGTAGCGCTCCTAATCGTATAATTAAACTGTAAAACGTTGGCCGCGGCGCGTGTTGTGTGCGAGCGTGTGTGTTCGTCCGCAGTCAAGTTTGGAGCTCAGACTGCGCCGGCTGCTTGCATTAAGCATGTAAATGCTCAGTAAATCAGCCTTTTATTGGTTGTAATAAATACCCAGGGGGCCGAGCGGCGTGGCCTCGCTCTCGTCGGCGCTGCACTCTCTCGCTCTCTCTCTCTCTAATGCGTCGACCCTCGGGGGCCTCTGCAAGAGAGAGGCAAGCCGCCGCACTCCACTCTCGCAGGTGGCTGCCAGGAGTCGCTGCACACACACACACACACACACACACACACGACTACACACATATAATATGCAGCACACACACACACACACACACACACAAAGCGGTAAACATCCAAATAGGACTAAATGTAATCAACATTCTTGCACATGCAAACATACACACAGATGTGTGCTCAAGCATGCAGGCGTACAGCACTCAAACAATTTGATGTTGACATTAACGTTTCCGCAAACTGACACCGAAATGAACCAAAGCGCAAACCGCCTATCTACTGAAATCACCACCGTCATTTGTCTGCTTTCTCTGTATCGGTATCCGCTGATAGAACAATTATTATCCGCTGATTTATCGCAGATCAAAGGGGAGCGTTGCCGTAGGCGGATCTCCGCCTGCCGGACGTCTAAATCGAGATGACGGCGTTTGCGGTGGAAACAGATAGAACGTTTAAAAGCAGGTGTTCGGGTGTTAAAAGGGGTTTCGAGGTTTGGTTTTTTTCTGACCGACTCTTTGTGTCGTTTAGGACAAAGCCGCCTTGGAGAGTCTGAGTCAACAGCTGAAGCAGCAGGCGGAGGACAAGTTCAGCCACGCCATGCTGGACTTCACCATGAGCGGAGACTCTGATGGTAGGAACGCACACACTCAGGGGGTGACCCACAAGAAAAAAATGGGTGATTTTTTTGTTGTTGTTTTTTTTAACCCTGCAACCTCTGAGCAATTTCTGGGCTTTTGGATCCTGTCACATTTCTACTCATTTTTCCCCACAATAACCTGGAACACAGTGGGAATTCTTTGATTATTTACATTACAATAATTGAATATTTACATCAGGTAAACCATAAACTATTAAATCAATATGTACAACAAGTTTTCCGAGTACCCACATGTGTTACCAATACTGTGGCTCATTTTTTACATTTTTTATTCCTTTCTAAATACTTCTATCTGCTCTGTGCGTACACAGCCTGCAGTTCAACCCAAAACAATCCCAGAATTTTTGTTATTTATCTGTTGGTTGCAGCTGAACCACTCATAACTTCCTGGTTTTGCTGAGGAGTGCAGAATTTTTATTTTTTTCCACAATCCGGTTAAAGGAAACCGTTTATTTTTGGCTATTTTTATTATATTTTTTTTACATGAGACATGCAGACTGAAGAGATTTTTGGATGAAATATCACGATTTTAAGCTCAGATTTGGCTAATTTTCCAGAAGGAACAGCGCATCACACATGGTTAGCTGAAACACCATGAGAAAGTGGAGAATTTGTTGATTTTTTTCATTTTTTACAGTTTCTACCTGGGTTACATGGTGTAGTTTTGGCGATTTTGAAAAAAAAAATATGACAGGTTTTAGCTTTCGGATGGTTAAAGAAAGAAAACTGGAAGATTCAGTTTTGCTCTTAATAACTTGAAGAGCTAACACATTTTTACTGTGTGTTTATTTCCTCAGGCTCCCCCAGTGTGTCCGACTCCAGAATATTCCGCGAGTCTCGGGGTCGGAGCAGCAGCGAGCCGCACATCAAGCGGCCGATGAACGCCTTCATGGTTTGGGCCAAGGACGAGCGGCGGAAGATCCTCCAGGCCTTCCCCGACATGCACAACTCCAACATCAGCAAGATCCTCGGTACAAAAAAAAAAAAACAAACACATGCAAAAAAAAAAAAAACAGCAAAAAGGAAAGATGCTTCCTCAAACAAACACACACGCTGATATTGATTTCCTCGCGAGCGGCGGCGGCATTGTGCAAGCGGCTGTTAATGAACGGCTGGGGAGAGCGCGCCTCCGACAAATGATGATATAATTCATTATGCATTAAACAAGCAGCGCGAGGCCGCCTGACATTTCCCCCAGACCGCCGGGATCGGCCCTGACATTTTAAAGAGCTCCTAAGCGTTTTATAACACAGGGAAATCTGGTTTTAATAAGCCTCCTCTCTCTCTCTCGCTCGCGTACGCTCTCGATTGCTAACAGATCGCAGAACACAGAGAGGGGAGAAGACAGGGAGAGAGAACGGCCAAGTGCTGACAGCTTTTACCCATTAAACATACAGTAGTCAAGTGCAAATTCAGACCAGATATGAAACACACACACACATGCATGAGGGGGGGAAGACACGCTCAAGATTACACCTACACACACTCATGCAGCAGGGACTGATAGTGCAAATCTGGCGAGTGGAAACCGAGCCGAGAGATGACAGCAGGTTAAGTGAAGTCCTCATTAGCCGAGATGAGTACCTGTCGTCCCCGCTGCTCTCCTCATTAACCTCCTTTTTTTTTTTTTTTTTTTTGCTGAAACTTGCAGCTTGTGTAATTTAAACGCAGCGTCCTATTTTAATTTTTTCTTTCTTTTCTTTCGTCGTCCCTCCTCCGTCCAGGGTCGCGCTGGAAAGCCATGACCAACCTGGAGAAGCAGCCGTACTACGAGGAGCAGGCCCGCCTCAGCAAGCAGCACCTGGAGAAGTACCCCGACTACAAGTACAAGCCGCGGCCCAAGCGCACCTGCCTGGTGGACGGCAAGAAGCTGCGCATCGGCGAGTACAAGGCCATCATGAGGTCCCGCAGACAGGAAATGAGGCAATACTTCAGTGTGGGGTGAGGGCGCTGTGGAGGGCGACAGCTTTTTAAAACCGAGAGGGATTTAGAACCAAACGACGACGGACATTTGGCTTTATTTTACTCTAAACTAGAATCAGATGTTTCATAGTTAGAACCAAATCTGAGTGAGAGGATTATTTAAATCATGGGTTCCTCAGTTAGATTTTGGTCACTGTGGTCTTTAGCAGCAGCATACATTTAATTTTCTCGTAATTTAAGGGTTTGTTTTTGTTTGTTTGTTTTAGTTTAACCCTCTTAACCCTAAATGTGCCGCTGGGTTTTGAGTATATTTTTTAAAAATCCCCAAAATTGGACTATTTAGCATTTTAAAAGAAAGAAAGTGTGCGTCATCGTGTGGAACTTCTAGTTCTGTTTGGAAAAACAACCAAATCTAAGCTTAAAGTTGTGATATTTCATCTAAATCTCTTTATTCAACATGTCCTCTTTAAAAAAAATACCAAAAATAAACACCTTCATCTAACCGTGTTCTGTAAAAAGCAGAATTGAAAAACCATCAAAAATCAGCAGAATCACACCATTTAGCTGAGCCACAAGCTGTAACTGTTGGATTCTAACTTTCTCGAACAGAGACTTGCTGCTGCATCGAGAAATATATCAAAAAATAAGATTAAAATCATGGGCTGCAAAGGCGCAGTTGGTAGCACTGTTGTCTCGGTTCGTGTCCCGGTGAGGACACCCAGGAGCTTTCTGTGTGGAGTTTGCATGTTCTCTGGGTTCTCTCCGGGTTCTCCAGCTTCATCCCACACAGTCCAAAAACATGTTGAGGTTAATTGGTGATTCTAAATTGTCTGTAGGTGTGAATGGGAGTGTGCTTGGTTGTCTGTCTCTAAGTGTAGCCCTGTGATAGACTGGTTACCTGTCCAGGTGAACCTGCCTTCACCCTGAGTCAGCTGGGATAGACTTCAGCCCCCCACGACCCCAGTGAGGATTAAGTGGTGTATAGATGATGGATGGATGGATGGATTAAAATCATCAAATTTCATCGTGTGTGTTAAATAAATATGTTTGTACGAACCAGAGCCTGTAAAAAAAATCCACTTTTCAGTACAGATGTAGAGCTGTTAGTGACTCAGTTGACAAAAATGTGCTGACTTCTCGGCTGAACTGCAGATTGTGTTCACAGAACAGACTAATTTAAATATCTATAGTATGTACAGCTGCGTTATTCTTTTCCAGAGTTGGTAGCACCTGTGGAAACATGCTGTACATGTTGATTAAAGGTTTTCTTTTTAGCTTTTGTAAAATGAATAATCACAGAAACTTTTTTATGATTTATTTACAATTTACGGCATCATAACTGAGTCATACTGCACAGGAGACTTTTTTAAGCTCTCTCTACTTCTAGTCGTGGTTGGTTTGTTTCCATAGAGGTGCAGGAGTTTATGTTGGAGTAAAAATGAGCCCACAGTGAGCAAAAATATGACAGGAGTCAAAAACGCCCAGAAGCTGCTTACAGACAGAAAAACCTTTTTTCCTTTTTATGCTGTTATTTTTATTACTTCCTTTTTATTATAGGTCTTGTTTAGTCATTATAGCTCATGGACAGTGGTTCCCAACCTGGGGTTCGGGGCCCCCACAAGGGGTCGTAACGCAAGCATCACTGCAAAGGAGAAAAATTCAGTAGATTTTCCTGTAATATTTCCTGTTTGTTATGTAAATTTCTTCGTCAGTGTTCATGGAAAGCAAAGACAAAACGCTCAATTAAACAGTGCAGCTAGTTTTAAGGGGTCATAAGCAAGTTTCGCCTTCATTCTGGAGCTCAGCGGTTTGGGATGATTCTTAACGAGGACGTATTTGAATCATTCCTGAGTGTCTGTTGTGATCGAGGTGCAGCTTTCATGCTAAACTCCCGTCTTCTCCCTCTGCGCCTACAGCCAGCAGGGCCAGCTGCCCCTGTCCTCCGCCGGCGTGGTTTACCCCGGCGCCCTCTCCATGGCGGGGATGCCGTCGCCCCAGATGCCCTCGGAGCACTCGAGCATGTCCAGCAGCCCCGAGCCCAACGCCAACCACCACCAGAACCCCCACATGCCCGGTCTGAAGGGCGACGAGCCACGGATCAAGGAGGAGGAGCTGCGGTTAGACGACAGCAACGGCGACGTTTACGACGACTTCGACTACGAGGACGAGGAGGCCGACTACGCCAGCGACAACGAGAACCACATCACCCAATAGGACGGCGCCCCGACCGGACCCCGCCCTTGAAAGCCAATCACTGCTGGTTTTGAGAAAATCACAAAATCCCACCAATCAGGAAGGAAACTTTTGCCAATCACCTTGAGAACCGATCCCCCCCCCTTTGACGACGACCCCCCATCGTCCCTCCTGACTAACATGGACTCTTTAAACGGAGCCAGACCTCCCTCCCTCCCTCCCCCCCTACCCCCCCCTTGCCTCCCACCGGAGTCCTGATACCAGCATCTGATCAATCAACTGAAGCACAGGACCTGTCACTCACACTGACTGTTACACGAACTGGGGAGGAGGAGGAGGCGGTTTCTGAGGGAATATTCGAGTACTACTGCAGGAGCGTAACGCCACGAGTGAGGAGGAGAACTTTAGAAACCCGCTCGAAACCTTTTAGCCCCGTTTGTAGAGAAAAAAAAAACAAAACACGGAGACATTTCAAAAATGACAAACAAACAGTGGACCTGTCAAAGGCGAACAGACGACACTTTAAGATGGCGGACCTGTTTATTATCAAGAGACACTTTTAAAAGGAAAAAAAAAAAAAAACAGCTTTTTTTGTTCTTTGGTTCTATAATATTCTCACTCAGGTACACGGTGCCAATAAGTGGCTTGTGAATGTGATTTGTTGTTTTTGTGCTACAAGTTTGAATAATAATAGAAAAAAGAGACATTTCTTTTTTCCCCTTTTCTTTTTTTTTTTTGTTGTAAAGCACCTGAAAGACATCAGACGTTTATTTTTAACAAAAAGATATCTTTTTTTTTTTTTCTTCAACCTCGCAGCGTGCTGTCAGCGGTTCCCTCCCCCCCTACGCCCTTCAACTTTATTCCTGTTTTTTCTCTTGTGTTTTTGTGACCAACCCCCACTTTTCCCCCCTGTTTTGGAACCCAATGGGACGGTCCAGCCAGGACTGACCAAGCACAGCGTGTGGACCGTCCCAAAATTTAAAAAAAAAAAGGGGGGGGAGGGCGTCTCTCTTCTGGAGCAGAAAACGAAAGCACTGTGTTGTGAGACAATCTTTCTTCTCGCTCCGTCCCTCTGAATTTCTCTGATCTCGTCCAGGGCAAAAAAAAACCAACATCGGTAGCTGGAAAGAAAAAAAAAGAATAATAATAATAATCCAACGAGTGTGTGTGTGTCCGTGTGCGTTCGTTTGCTTCTTTTTCTTTTAGTTTTTTTTTTTTTAAAGTGCCAAAATAAAAAAATAAAAGAAAAAGAAGCGGGGAAACGATTCGCAGCACGCAAACAAACACAGCTGTTGTTCTGTCCGTCAGTGTTTTTTTTCCCTCCAATCACGTCGTCCTGCTGTAACCCAGTGGGCGGAGCCGAGGCGAAGTCAGCCAGTCAGTGTTTCCGTTTGTATTTGAATACTGTATTTTATTATTTTCTCTTCGAAACTGCCTCTAGTCTAATAATATTATTAACAATAATTATAAGGATGGTCAGCGTTTCCTAAGTTTAGTAAGTTATGTACAGTATAATTTATTTTTCTCCTCTTTATTGGGTTTTTATGACCATATGAAACTATGACAGTCAATGAAACATTATTCTATTTAGCTGGTAGGTATTTTAGATCTAAACTAAAGTTTGTTTGTTTTTTTTTTTGTTCCCTTCCTTTGCTATTTTGTATTAATCGTGCGGACGGGTGGGCTCGATGCCAGCCCTCCTCTTTTTTTTTTGTTTTTGTTTTTCATGTCCGAACCCATTTCTAAGAAGCACTCAGACTCTGAGGAAAAAGAAGAACATGATTTTTTTTTTTTTTTTTATTAATTGTTATTATAATTTTATTTGTAATGATTATCATAATGTATAATGTGAAAGTTTCCTCTTCTTTTTTTTTTTTTTTAAATTTTATTTTCTGTGAACAAAGAGACCCCCGATCCCCTTTTTGTTTTTACTGGTCCGGCCGCCAGTGGAACATCCTCGATGGGCTCGGATACATGCACACGAGCAACATTTGAAAAATTAAGAGATTATCATGACAACCAAACAAATCCTATGCTGTTATTTTTTTTTTTCCTTTTTTTTTTTTCCTGTTTTAAAATCCTGTACATATATTGTGTGATCGCAGTGATTTTTTTGAATTTTTTGTTTTTTTCAAAAATCATAGGAAAGCAGTGTTTACCGCGATCCGGGCCAGGATGTTCCACTGTGTGAACCAGGCGTATCTTTTACAGTATCTCTCATCAGGAGCCCTTTTTTTTTTTTTTGCTTTGTTTGAGCTCCACGCGATGCTACAGGAGCCATGACTACTCTTCAGGTGTGCCGTCACATAGTGATCCCTCCCCCACCACCTAAACTCACAATCATTTATTCTCGCTATAGATGTTTTTTGCTGCATATCGAGCTTCTGGGTCCTAATTTTTTTTTTTTTTTTTTGCTGTATAGTCACATCCCACATCGTTCGACCCCCCCATTGCTGGAGAGAGAGGGGATCCATTTCAGGAGGGTGGGTGGGGCATTTAGGGCATCAATCATCCCTGCTGGCAAGGTCTTACCCCCATATCAAGACAATGAGAAATGATGATGAATTTATTTAAGACAATCAAAGTCATGAGTGGAGCTCAACACAAAGTTATTACAAGAAAAAGAAAAAAAAGCGAAAAATATCTTACCATCTCAACTTGAAAAATCAAGAAAGATAATTATGTAAATATAACATAGAGTTATAGATTTATATTTTGTTCATAACACAGTGTAATATAAGTTGTATATTTCTTTTTTTTTTTTCTTCTCTCCCTACTGTCTCTTTTATTGATGTTATCCATGCCACAGAAAAAGCAAAGAGTCGCAGTGCTCTCACAAGAAAAGAAAAAAAATTTGAAGAAAAATATCAAAGAAATAAAGAAAAACAGGAAAAAAAGAAAAAAAAAAAAAAAAAAGCCGTGGGCTGCCACCACCATCTGTTCTAAGTTCACTTTTTTTCAGTATTACTGCCAGACAAGGCTCTAATAAAGACAGCAATGTGTTCAGTAAAAAAAAAAAAAAACTTGTGCTGGTCCTGGTCACTTCTTTACACCACACTTGCAGTCACACAATGGCGACAACACAAGCGTGCATGCTTATGTTATATGCACACGAGTTCCTAAAGGTGGATTTTTTTTTGTCCAATCGCCTCCGTGTTATTATGCAAAGTCCACCTTCACGCAAACATATTACACGCAGAAACGTCGATGCACAAGGATGCACACGACTTCCTAAAGGTGGATTCTTTTTGCTCTTAAAGGGTCGGAAAGGGTTCAATCATCTCCGTAACGACTTGTTAATTACGCCAAGTCCACCTTCTTGTCCCTCCAATCAGAGGGGCCAGCTGGGAGGCGTGGAGAAGAATCACGGCCCGTTAGCAACCTGATAACCTAATTAAGCACAACAAGGGGACACGGAGGAGGGGTGAGTGATGAAATATGTGCACATGTGCGAGTCACACATAAAAAAAAAAAAAAAGACTCTCACTGTCTCCCTAAGCGCCGTCAAAGCTCCGGATGTCGGCCGCCTGTGCTGCTGCTGCTGCTGCCGCCACCGGTTTAAAATCTTTAATTGATGCTCGCTTAAGGATGTTGAGGATGTTGGAGCCTCCACTTTTCAAGGGGTTAAAAAGAAGAAGAAAAAAAAACACAAAACCCCACTCAGTGCGCCCATTAAAACGCTGTCCCCCCCATCTGGGTCCATATGTTGCCGCAATCAACCCCCACCGCCTCCTCCACCGTCGCCGCCCGGTCCGACGCATAAAAACAGTTAAATGCACTCAGAGGAGATGATTTTAACATGCTTTGCTAATTACCATAAGTTCACACACACACATGGAAAGGGAAAAAAAAAACTCCTTTTGATGCAATAAAGAGGCAGGATGGGGGCAGATCCTCCACTCCTACGGTAAGTGAAGGACTTAGTTGTTCTCTGGGCATTGTGAATTTTTCAGAGGCAGCCTGGAGGTAAAAACCTGAGAAAAGGTTTATGTGTGAATAGTTGAGGAGCAGAGAGGGGATTCAGATTTTTCTTTCTTTCTTTCTCCCCCCCTTTTTTTTTCTTTTATTGTCAGCAGTTCGGGGGGAAAGATGCTGGAGGAAGCAAACAGTGGCTAGACTCAGATTAAAATCGCACCCTCAGGTGAGCCGGAGGAGTCAGCGCAGCTTAAACCGACGTCTATCTGCCACAATGGGCCTCGTATTTACATTTGAATTAACTTTTCCTCAGCGACAGATCAGTTAAAAACTTCCATCTCGACGTGCGCTCGGCGTGACTTTGAGTGCGGCCCTCCGCTCGCCTGCTCAGTGAAATATGCAGGGTTTTTTTTTTTTTTTTTTCGACCGTGGGTGTTTGGAAATTGAGTGAAAACGATGTCACATTAATGATTTAAAGTCGGTAATAGGATGTGCTGTGACGCTGAGCCGCCAGCTAAGCTGAGTTTAAGGCTCCGGCGTTAATGTATTCATGAGGAGGAGGATTATACAGAGACAAGAGCAGCTAGAGAGCTGAGTGCAGCACAGCAGCCAGGGCCAACAGGCCTGCTAGATATTATATATAAAACTACATTTACACTAGTGCACACAGAGAGAATCCTGTGGGGAGTGCAGTTAAACACACGTAGACAATATTGACTTTATTATTTTTTACCTATTATTTCTTATTGATAAGGCTTTGAAACAACTGCTATTAATAATTTCACAGATGCTAAAATCCAAAGAAAGGCAAAAATAAAATAAAATAAAATAAACCACCCCACCACAGTTCTATATTAATTCTCGCCCCAAACCCAGATATTAGCACAAATATGTGTTTATCTGCTAGCACTGTTTCTTCTTTCATCTTTGATTCTGGCAGCTCCGCTAATCCCTCGTCTAACATACTAATGTATACGCAAACTGCAGCATCATTAAAACAGGAAGGAGA